CACAGGCACTAAACTTCAGAGGCTTGGTTTACCAAGTAGACATCAAAATCATGAAATTTCTCACGGAAGATTACTTTGGCAAAGGTAAAGAAATGATACTTGGTACAGATTGATTTTCCTCTTGCTCTAGTGTGCTTAGTGTCACCATGGTAACATCTAAACATTTTGCCTATGGGCATAAATGTAAAACACCCCCAGCGTGATGGCACTGCAAAGGGTTGGGTATCATTAAGAGGTTGCCAATACGATACATATCTTGATACAGTGCACTTTCAATTTCAAATCAATTTGATACACTCCATTTTTAAAAAAAAGGCTAAATCATGGCTGTGATACTAAAAGTCTTTGTCAAACCACATTTTGTACAAAGTAAATATAAAACACAAACATTTTAATCATCAAAAACATTCAAATGTCAAATGTGTCGCATAAATGAGTTTACTTCCTCTAAACATGCAACAAAACTGTAAAGCTGTAACAAAATAATTTAGTAAAATATACCAAAAAATACTCTGGGTGATATATCAATACAGCAGCCCACAATATCGATACCGTATCATCACATTAAACTATACGATATTTTGATATTTTTACACACCCCTAACTGCAAACTATTTATGGAATGTCATTTTCCAGCACAAAATAAAAATAATTTCTTTAATATTGTCATGTGCTCATGTCGTGTCATCTTCTATTGCTGACATCATTTTGTGTCCTAATTATGTTTCTTTTTGGGGGGGGGCACGAGATCCTGTCCAATCCCTACTGATTAGTAGGAGTGTGCAAAAATATTGAAATATCGATATATTGTATTGTGTAATTTGATGATACAGTGTAGATATCGTAGGCTTCTGTATTAATATATATCGCCAAGAGTATTTTTTAGGTACATATTTGACTAGATTATTTTGTGTTAGAGCTACAGTTGTGTTGACATTTTCACAGTTTTGAGTAAAATGGGTGTTTTTTGTATTAACTTTTCCCAAACTTAGTGGACTTTTTATATCGCAGCCATGATTTAGCCTTTGTTTTTCCACAGAACCGTTGAATTAAATAGATTTGAAATATATCGTATCGAATCATATTGAACTGAAAGTAAAACGTATCGAGGTATGTTTCGTATCGGCAGCTTCTTGATGATACATAGTCCTGTTGATTAGTATCTTTTTCCCTCTGACAGCCCTTGTGACAGTGGTGGATTATGACACACAGTTGAAATGTCAGGAAGAAGAAGGGGAGAGAGTCTATTTATATGAATGCACCAATGTATTAAGATGTGATTACAGGCAAAGGTAGAAGGCTGCGAGTGGCTGACAAAAGCTGACAGGCAATGTTTATTTATTTATTTATTTATTTATGTATTCATTGCCCATGCTATTATTTTGTTGGCATCAATTTGAAGAGAACAACAACAACAAAAATCCGACAATTAACATAAATACATATTCCAACCATAATATGCCTTTTCTTTGCTGCATGAATGAAAGGATCAGGAAGAAGATAAATCTTATAAACCCTTCTCCTTTCACAGATTATTATGTATTCAATTCTTTTTATTAACTTTTGATAGTGCTGTCAAGAGATTAAATAAAAAAGAGAGATTAATTAATTATGATCTGTAATTAATTGATCTAATTAATTTCTTTTTTAATCTCACCTAAAAATTGCTGAGAAAGCCCTAATCTTGAGGTATTTTCATTTAATTCATTATTACATTATTGTGGCAGATCAAAAAACTGTCATATAACAAAAAAAGTAACTTTATAAAGTAATTTATTGTTTTAACAAACTTTAACAAATGCAGCCATTTACATTCCGCTGTGTTCTTTTGTCAAACTCTAAATTAAAGCCTGACCGATATATCAGTTGGTCGATATTATCGGCCGATATGAGCACCTGCTTGCTGATATTTCACGTGGGCATGTTATACCTCGTTACAAAGCTTAGACCAGGCATGTCCAAACTATGGCCCGGGGGCCAAATGTGGCCCTCAGACAAATTTTTCTTGGCCCTCAGGCTTCCAGGTGAATTGGCCCAAATTTACTTTGCATCAATTAAAAAAATATTTTTTACTGCAAGTTTTTTGAAATTCTACCTTGATGAAGCTAATATTTAATATTTAGTGTGTGATTTTAAGGATCTTAGCATGAATAAAGACCGATGGCTCATTCTAACGTGTTAAACATGCACATATTTCAATTATTCCCTGTACTGAGCATCAGTCTACGGCCCTTGATCGGCCCTCTGCTTTGTCTGTGTTTAGATATGTGGCCCTTGATGAAAAAAGTTTGGACACCCCTGGCTTAGACTCTCTACATTATGTTCAGTATTTATCTGTGGAGTCATTTGTCTGTGTGTGTGTCCGTACTGTCCCTGAACACACTCCTAGAGTCACGTGTGTTTGTTTACACCCACAGACATAGATCCATGTGCAACACTGAGATTATTTTCTTTTTACGGACAATCGGTTTGAGTCTGGATTAAAAGGACATTTATTAGTGCAGACTTGTGATGTGGGAGGAGCCTGTGTGAGCGCTGAGTGTTGGAAATATGTCGACTTTGAAGCTAGTTTTGGTTCGTTCTGATAGGTTAGCGAATAGCTGCTGTAGCTCCCTCACATAAACAGGTTTTCTATTGGCCTATTGTAAAGTGACTATATTGGTCGTATATTTGTTACTGGACCTGCATTGATATGTAAATGAGATGTGAATAGACGTGTGAATGATGACATTTGCGCATATAAATAATTACCGCGACACGCAGCATTTACGGCTAAAGGCTAATAGCGATTGTTTATTTACTCGCTTGTAGTGATGGGTCGGTCGTGAACGAAGCGGATCTTAGAGCCGGCTCTTTGAAACGAACGACGAGAGCCTGATCCTTATTGGGACTGAGAACCGTGTTTTCTCTTTCTCTCACTTTTTTTCTCTTCACGCCATGTGCAGACTGGTGGTAGTTTGACAGCGGCAGTGGCTCAAAATGAAACTTTAAAAAATCTACGTGTGCATAGGGTAAAAAAAAAACGTGCATATATTCAGCATAAAATAAATAATCCAGGACTAATCTTGGGCTCGAGAGAGGGAGAGAGATAGAGACCGAGTCCCGACACTCAGTCCTGGTTCAGTTCTGGTTTAGTCCTGCTTTAGACCTGCCTTAGACCTGCTTTAGTCCTATGACATATCATGTAAAGAGGCAGAATAACAATAAATGTTGTCGGCTATTGGCAGCTCCAACTCCCATTATATTGGTACCATATCGGCCACAACAAAATCCATATCGGTCGGGCTCTACTCTAAATAATTAGAAAATACAAATAAAATTAAACCAGGTTAGAAAATCAGGCTAGAAAAAATCAGGTTAGAGGCCTGCACCCGTGGGACCCGACACAAAACAGTGCGGTGCCGGACACATTCTGAAAGCTCATTGTGGCGCAGGCGGAACGAGACTGCATGATGTGGGAGCAGGTGGGTGGGATGATAAAACTGCAGTCCCGCAAACTAAATATGAGTGTAAAGTAAAATATACAAATGATTCATGTTTGCCTACCATACATCATTTGTACAGGATATTTTATTTTGACATTAATAAAAACATTTTAAGCAGCCTAAATTTGCGGATGTGGTCTAACCTTGCGCACATTTTAGACAATTTTTTTCCTCTTTCCTCTGAGTTCTGAATTAATCCATTTACAGTATGTCGCAAATGTTCGAGCTTTAAATGAACGCTACTGCATCTGCATGGTGAAGGGTCACTGAAATATTCGGAGGCACAAGCCCAAACAAAGCTGTTCCACAATTTGCTACGATATTTCTTTTGCATATAAATGAAATTGTCCTTTCAGAGATAAAACCAAACTAAGTCACCGATGAGCCATATGTGTGCTACAATATCTCTCTTGTGGTTTACATTTTCATTCACTTTTTAACTTGAATTTTCCTTAGTCACATGTGGTGGTTGAGTAGTGTTTTTTTATGCAATGTTCCTTCACTTTCATTTGTGTATTGATCAGACCCAATCCTACGGAAGCTGAGACACACCAAAAAAAGCCACAATACAACAAAAAGCCACAATAGAAGTGACCGCGGGACTCTATTTTGTGATGGACCGATCAAGTGGCAAGTGAAGTAGAAGAACTACAATGTGAAACGAATAATGATAAAATAATAAATTACTTTTACTTGCGTTTCCAACTTCTCCGTTCCTTTACTTTTCACGTTGTAGTTCCTCTTCTTCACTTGCTGCTTGATTGGTCCGTTGGAAAATAAAGTCCCGCGGTGACTTCCGTTGTGGCTTTTTAATGTTATGTGGCTCTTTAATGTGTTGCGGCATTTGCTTTTGTGTTGTGGCGTTTGTATTTGTTGCGCCGTCTGCTTTAAAATAGAGTCCCGCTGTCATTTCCGTTGTGGCTTTTTTTTGGTGTGTTGTGGCTTTTTGTTGTGTTGTCGCATTTGTATTTGTTGCGGCGTTTGTGTTTGTTGTGACCCCTCTCGGCTTCCGTACAATCCCCCTGTCGATATTTGGCAGTGGATGTCATCAACATTCCCTGGGGTTGTGAGGCAAACCAAAGGCACTGCTCTGTCTGAAGCACTGTTACTCAAGTTAGACTTTAGTCTGCTGTTTTGTTTTAACACAGTCTGATCGGAAAGAACTGATTTAGCGGGAACAACAGGTGATCTGATTTGTGCTGTTAAACAAGTCTCTCAAATAACATCACATTCAGGAGCTAGCACAACAGGACCTGAAAATGTGTTGTTTAAATCCATTTTGTATTTTTCGAGTTTTCAGCTTTTTTGGCAGTGTGCATTGTGCCACCACAGTAACTGCTGAAGATTACGCCATAGACATACATGTGGAACCCCCTAATGTAATGTCACTGCAATGTATCAATACAATATATAATAAAATCCAATGGCTGATTTAATGTAATGTAATAATGCTGTTATTTTATCATCTCCATTCATTTTATTCTGTATGTGACAAATGCCTTAACTGTTTCGCACATGGTTCGAGCGTGTGAGCATCCTGGCCATCCTGCTCAACTGTGTGACCCTAGGAATGTTCCAGCCCTGTGGACACACCCCCTTCTTTCTCCAGGTAAGATACACATTCACCACACTTTACAATAGAATGAATAGAGCCATTAAAATATAAAGATTCACATCATACAGGGATTCACAAAGGGCTTTCCTTTTGTTTATTATGCTGTACTTTTTCTAATGCCACTCACGCGTCTGCAGAGGACAGGTTTTCTTTTACACATTATAAATTATGAGTATGCAGTCATTACGGGAAGGTTAATAAAAACTATTGAGTGAGTCATTGTTCCAGTCTTATTGAAAGCCACTGTATCTACACTGGAATATAAACAAGTGTGCACTTAAGCAGACAGGATACAGAACATAATATTAATATTAATATTCTTCACCATTACGTCATTGAAAAGACAGTCCATAGGTCATATATTCCTTAGCCCTACAGAAACTGCACAGATTCTTCAAGATGACACATCCGGACATGCCATTGCAAGGAGATTTAAAGTGTCTCCCAGCACAGTCTCCAAAACATGGAGGAGATTTCAGGAGATATGCAGTTACTCAAGGAGAGATGGACAGGGCCATAGAAGGTCCTCAACCCATCAGCAGGACCCATATCTGCTCCTTTGTGCAAGGAGGAAGAGGTTGAGCACTGTCCGTGTCCTACAGAATGACCCAGCACTGTGAAGCGCCACTGACATTTGCTGTATGACACCGGAATTGTTAAGTCCACCACTGATGCCCTGTGCTTTTCACAGAGGAGAGCAAGTTCACCCTGAGCACTTGTGGTAGATGTTTGGCGAACATGGTTCAGCATGAGCTGTTTGGTGGTGGGTCAATGATGCTGTGGAGAGGCAGATCCACAGAGGGACGCACAGACCTCTACCGGCTAGAATATGCTCATTTGACTGCCATTAAGTATCGAGATGAAATCCTTGAACGCATTGTCAGACCCTACACTGGTGCAGTAGGTCCTGGGTTCCTCCAGATGCAGGACAATGCCTGAACTCATGTGGCAAGAGTCTGCAGCCAGAACCTGCAGGATCAAGGGATTGATACAGTTAAATAGCCCTCACAATCAGCTTACTTAAACCTGATAGAACACCTCTTATGTATTATGTTTGGGTCCATCAGACACCTCCAGGTTGCTCCTCAGACTGTACAGGAGCTCAGTTATGTTCTTACACAAATCTGGGAGGGGATCTCACAAAACACCATCTGTCGCTTCATTAGGAGAATGCCTTGACGTTGTCAAACATGCACACAAACACGGGGAGGCCCCACAAGAGACTGAGAAGCATTTTGAGGTGCAGGAATAAAATTTTGGCAAAATGGACTAGCCTGCCACATGATTACTTCACTTTGATTTTCAGAGTGTCTATAAAATGAAGCCCTCTGAAGGCTGAAATTGTCATTTTAATTAAAAGAAAGTGGCATCCTCTTGTTAATAAGACATTACCCTGTAATTAGACAAACTAATTCATATCTGAAGGTGCGAAGCAAGAAACACAAATATTCAAAATATTCATATTGTCAACATAAAGCTTTTGTCACTTGTAGACTTACTCACAGTGAGAAGAGGACTGTATTGCTCAAGTAGGAGTATTGTTACTTAAATAAAAATATTACTCAAGCAGAAGTAAAGGTATGCTGCTAGAAAAGTACAATTTCTTTAAAATGTTACTCAAGTGAATGTAACTACCCGCTACTTTAGCAAAATTTGTAAGTGTCTCACTGATGTCAGTGGAAATTATACAAAACAAGATGTTCATGATTATTGTATTTTGCTTTCACATTCTACAATTTGTTGACGCCATAATTTCAGATGCAGAGCTGGGGCATTAATGTAACTTATCTAACTATCCAAAGATATTATCCACACATTTAGAACTATAGGTTATTTATTTGAGATTGGGTCCAAAAATGTACCATATTAATCTAATGTCTTAAAGTTCTTTCAACTGACAACTACCACGTCTTCAGGTTGAATAATGACACCACTTTCGGAAGCTATTATGAAAAAGTCATTTAACTTTTGTTCATTTTTGCTGACAGAGAAGATGCTGAATTTGTGCCAGATTTTTGCTCATGTGGATAGGCCCAGTAATTAAAGATATTAACCATAAACCATAAACCAGCTCAACCAATCTGCAGTTTAACAGCACATTCCTCTATAGACTGACTCACTTTTAACCTGTAGGCGCAGTCTGAAATATTGGGATGTCATGTGAATGCAGCTTATTTAATTTTGTCTCTAAATGCTCCTAAATCGTGTTTTTTTTTTGTGGTGGCACTTCCAGGTAAAAGGGAATCCCATTCATGTCCATGGAGAATTTAGGAAACGTTTTGTATCTTAAACATGACAAAGTCGGTTCATTTGTGTAAAATTTTCAATTTTCATGTGCACCAAAAAGTGAACACTGCACTGATTCTGTGGGGGCTTTAAAACGGTTTTGTAGTATTGAACCTACCGTATTTGCTGGAAAGATTGGCAGCCCCATACAAAATAACACAACCTGAATAATGATGGTGGCGCCCTCAGCAACGTCCAGAATAAGGTGAATAGGGTGTTATTACTCTTCTGCACTTCCTGTTTCTAAATAGTATTGACTAGGGATGTAGCAATAACCAAAATATTGTGATATTGTATCATCAAAGTTCTCACAATAATATCGTGGACCATCACAATATATCAATATATTACAAGTCTCTTTGCTTAAATGAAGAGTTATGGTGCAGAGACAGAGGGAACTACATAGACCATGATCCTTTGCTCCATTTCAGTGCAGACTACAAGAAGAAATAACAGTTCTAAGCACTTTTGAGTCTTAGTTCTCTGGATTAAGTCTTGTCAAGGCATTTTAAGAGGAAAAAGTAGTATATTAACAGTTTTCTTAGCCTCCACAAAATATCGTACTGAGGTTCATACTAGAGCCCGACCGATATATCGGTTGGCTGATATTATCGGCCGATATGAGCACCTGGAAGCATATCAGCCGATATGCTTGCTGATAGGGGCCGATATTTCATGTGGGCATGTTATACCTCTTTATAAAGTTTAGACTCTCTACATTATGTTCATTTAAACCAATTTACAGACAGATAAATGTTCTAATATGTGGCTCCGCGTCAGTATTTATCTGCGGAGTCATTTGTCTGTGTGTGTGTCCGTACTGTCCCTGAACACATCCCCAGAGTCACGTGTGTTTGTTTACACGTGCAGACATAGATCCATGTGCAACACTGAGATTATTTTCTTTTTATGGACAATCGGTTTGAGTCTGGATTAAAAGGACATTTATTAGTGCAGACTTGTGATGTGGGAGGAGCCTGTGTGAGCGCTGAGTGTCGGAAATATGTCGACTTTGAAGCTAGTTTTGGTTCGTTCTGATAGGTAAGCGAATAGCTGCTGTCGCTCTCACACATAAACAGGCTGTTTTCTATTGGTCTATTGTAAAGTGACTATATTGGCCGTATATTTGTTACTGGACCTGCATTGATATGTAAATGAGCTGTGAATAGACGTGTGAATGATGAAATTTGCTGATGTTGCCTAAATAAACCCAGTTTAAAAACCACCAGAGCCAAACCTAAGTTTTTTTTTAATAATTCAAGACTTACAGTGAATTTATCCATCACTAAATATATCGGCGATTATATCGGCTATCGGCAGCCCCAACTCCCATTATATCGGCATCATATCGGCAAATAAATAAATAAATAAATAAAAAATCCATATCGGTCGGGCTCTAGTTCATACCATGATGCCCCTAATACTGACAGAGTATACTAGAGAAGGTACAGTATTTATTAGATATATCAAAAACTCCATTTGTTCATTTTATTTAGTCTAACACGTGAGGGGGGGGGGTATTCACACTTCAGACTTTACAAACACCTTGCTGCAATAGTCTCTATTCACACTTACGTCACAAACCAGGAAGCCGTTTGGAGACAAGCGATGACAGCTTCTGGCGGTAGTAAGTCTGACAAAATCTAGAAAAATGAGAAAATGTCCCAGTTTTTTTTTGTAGCATTCCGTTATGTTCGGCACATCAACAATTACAACCACACCTCAGTTTTCATCATTTCCCCAAAGACACACAACTCCGAGTGCACTGTGTATGTGATTAGAAGAGATGAGGCGCCAAATTCAAGATGATTCCAAACAGCACATACGTCTGCAGTCTTCATTTTACCGCTGATCACATTTACTTCAGTGGGTTTGATCACAGTCGGTCGGCGAGCCCAGTGTCGGGAATTACACCGGAAGTTGTCGTCTCATGTTTCCAAACGTCTTCCTGGTTTGTGAAGCAAGTGTGAATAGAGATTATTAGGTCAGTCCTGCATGATGTCACCAAATCCCTTCATTTATGCTTCATTGAATCACTTCATTTCACTGAACACTTAAAACACAACCTGCAAATTGACCTATTTTGCTCTAAAATTACCAAAAGTGACTCCAGTAGACAGTAGACAGTGCTATTAAAATGCCTTATACAGAATTTTGTTTTTTTTTTTTTTTGCAGAAAAGTTGATTTAGCGTTTAGTTCCACTTTAAAATTTGAAGAATGGGTGCAGAATCTCCAAGTGAATATTCACACACACACACGCACACACAGGCACACGCACACACACACACACACACACACACATACACACACACACACACACACACACACGCACGCACTTTTTCATTATGCTAAACCTTTATTATCAAGGGTTTTAAAAGTTTTCCCTTTAATTTTGCCTCTAATCAGTTTACCCTAATCCTCTGGGCTGTTGTGATGTATGTGTGTGTGTGTGCGTGTGTGTTTGTATGCGTGTGTGTGTGTGTGTGCGCAGGCCCTGGACGACGGCATCTTCATCTTCTTTGCCGGGGAAATGGTGGTGAAGATGGTGGCGCTGGGGGTCATAGGTCAAAGCGGTTACCTTGGCGACACGTGGAACCGACTGGACTTCTTTATTGTCATAGTGGGGTGAGTATTTGACACGCAGGATTAATCACAATGAATGTGAATGGTTTCAGCTAGCTGACTGCAAAGGATGGAATTTATTGGAACGACAACATGTTCTTAGGAGAACAAAGGCGTCTGTCTAATGATGAATGCACCAGTGTTCATCTTTATGACAAGTAAGAAATATAGTCTTTACCTGATTTCAACCTGTGGCTGTGTCCCAATTTCCACCCTAGTCCCTAACCCCTCATCCACTACATAGGCCCACACTCATTAGCGCCCCCTACAGTACACTCATCCACAGAGAGATTCACACAGCTCACTACATTTGAGTCACGTGAAAAAAATTTGGCTAAACTCATATAAAACTTGATTTGTGTCATAAATAATGATCAGATCAGACTGGCACACAAATCTTTATAGACTAATAATAATACTCAGATAAGTTTCTGTAAACAGACTGGATTATTAGCTTTTTGTCTGAGATTATGGCTCTTTTAACCATAGATCTCTAATAAAAACTGGATAAGGCAGTCCCCCTCTGTCCTGGCTTGAGACAGACTAGTGGCCGCTCCAGGAACTGCAGCTCTTGGGAGCTTGCCCCCACAAAGAGTTCTCCCATAGAAGCGCAATGCATTTTGGGAATTCAAACTGCCTGTGTTCTGAAAGGGCATCCAAACCTTTGACAAAGGTCGGATTTTGTAGCATTCATTTCTGTTTTTACAACAACTTCATAAATGTTTAAATCCTCAAAGCGCCTAAAAGTTCTCTTTGTAAAAGTTAGTCTAGTCCCGTTCTGAGCTCGCACTAGCTCCGCTCTAGCAGCTCTCGCTCTGATTGGTCCAGACGCTCCACGCCGTACACTTTACAGACGTCACATGGGTGGGAGGAGCTTGTCTGTATTGAGGAAGTAAATGTGAAAGAGAAAATGATTTTTGGGCCCATGCGCCAATGAACACAGGCCACTGAAAACAATACAGTGCCATTATTCACCTTCAGATTTGATTATACTTCTTTGCTTTTAACAGCTGGAGCTAAGGTAAAGGGCTAACCCTAGCACCTTTACACCATAACGGTTTATTTAGTGACGTTTTATTCAGAATCAGGATCAACACAGCAATAAACCAGCACTTTTATCTGCTTCATTCAGTCTTGTTGTGTCCAGTTAAAGACCTGTCGCTGTACGCCGTTGCTTTCCTGACGCTCCCAGTGCATTGTGGTCTATATTGACCGCTCTAGTGAGCACCCATGCCCACTACTTTGCAAGGTGCATTGTGGGAAATTTTGAGTGCACTACTTTTTCCAACAAGTGGACATTTGGACACCTCTAAAAATGGTGTGACCCCTAAATAGTGCACTAAGTAGGGAATAGTGTGGACATTTGGACACAGCCCATGAGTCAGAAACCTGTTTTATTTGGATTGTTTAGCCCCGCCCCCCTTAGTCCTTTCTGCTACTGTGATTTTGCACCATGACACTACGATGTGTCATTTTTCCCCTCAACGCAGTTATGCCATGACACACTTAGCTAACCTATCTAGCTTTTAATAAAGTGATGATACAGTATTGATATCGAGGGCTGCTCTATCGATATATCGCCAAGAGTATTGTTTGGTTTATTTTACTAAACTAGGGAATTCCATAACCTTCCATAAGCAACACTTCTCTAGCCTGATTCATCAGCCAGTTTCACTTCGTAGAAACCATCTGACCTCGCAAAAGTACACGCCTACTTGACGGTAGGTGGGTACTTTTTGTCATTTAACCAATCGCTGGTATTTTGTCATGACATATGTAATGCGCTTCCAACGGGGCTAACTCGAATATTAAGCGTTGCCCAAATCACATAGGAAGAAGGACAATAACGTCTTTCCCCTTGATGAGATTCACCAAACATTCTCTTTATTCCGTCTTTAAATCCTCAATCTCAGGAATCTTCCGGGGTTTTTGCAAACCATCTAGTGTATTCTGATTCCTGACCTATTTGCTGGAGAGAAATGAAATTGAGCGGAGGCACTAAGTGGCGCCAGCCTGGCTACTACTCCTCTAACATACTCAAAAATTATTATATGACAAATATAAGTATAATATAATAGAATAGTATAATATAATATAGTAGAAAACATATTTATTTTGTTGAATTAATGTTTCAAATATCAGAAAAAAACTGTTTATTGTGTCAAACTTTCGGATAAAATTCTGCTGACTGTGATGTCATCAGGGTTTTAGAACTCTCTACTTCCTGTAATTTTCAACATATTTTTCTACCTTTCTTCAGAAATTCCTTCTTCAATCTTGTGTAAAACTATCATTTATATTTACAATAGTTTTAATCCCACAATATCTATCTATTAATGTGACAAACGTCTGTCTGTGTGTCCTCCTATTTATTTGTTTGTTCCACGCATAACTCACAAACCACTTGTCCTATTAATCTCAAATTTGGAGGGTGTCATCCTAATGGTCCGAGTGTGTGCAGTGCCAGTGTTGTTCTTTGGCATTTTTTGCCCTAACAACATGAAACTTGGCACTGCACACACCGATACCATTAGTTTGACACAATCTAAATTTGAGCTCAGTGGGTCGAGAGTTATGTGTGGAACACACAAACAAACAGGACACACAGACAGACGTTCCTCACATTAATAGATAGATTATTGTGTTACAGCGCTACACTTTTGTTGCTTGTTTAGAGGAAGGAAACTCTTTTATGCGACATATTTGACATTTTCACTGTTCTGATAATTAAAATGTGTGTGTTTCGTATCCATTTGCACAAGAAGTGGTTTAGCAAACACTTTTAGTATTACAGCCATGATATAGCCCTTATTTTTTAATAAAATCGAAAGCTCACTGTATCGAGATATGTATCATATTGTGCCTTATGTATCGAGGTATGTATCGTATTGTGTCTTATGTATAGAGGTATGTATCGTATTGTGTCTTATGTATCAAGGTATGTATTGTATCGTGGCTTATGTATCGTATCGTGGCTTATGTATCGAGGTATGTAGCGTATCGTGGTTTATGTATCGAGGTATGTATCGTATCGTGGCTTATGTATCGAGGTATCAATCGTATCGGCAACTTCTTAATGATCCCCAGCCCTATTCTTAAACCTAACCCTAACCTTAACTTGACTGTAAAAAATACATTTATGTCAAAATGAGCATTTACCAGCACAGCCACTCGTATATAGTGGCGGTTGTGTGGCATGATTTGGTTGGGATAAAAATGAGGCGTCTGAGATAGTGTCAGGCATTTGTTTTCCCATGATTCATAGTTACAATGTGTCTGATTGGACGAAGAAAGGTGACCCTGTCTGTATCTTCTGCATGAGTTATTACCAGAGAAAATCCAATGTAATTTTTACATTTGATTATATTTTACGGTCTCAATTCTGCTCTTATTCATCAGCTTTTACCAAATAGTGCATGATATAAAGTCCTTTTAACATTTAACAAGAATAAATTACAAACCCTTTAATTAATCATATAGTACGACTAAATCTATAATACATAAAGCCAACTGAAAATGCTATTTTTATGGTAATAGTATTTGTCAAATGAGACTGCTTTTCATCATGTTCAGAGCCCCAGAGTTTGTGTACGCGTTGATCGAAAAGGAATTAATTAATTTCAAACTGTTTCATTAGGAGCTTGGATCTTATCCTCACTTATCCGTTCTTTCTGTTTTCGTTTAATTTTTTAGAAGGCAAATACGTCCACACATTTAATCATGACTTGAAGGTCCTGTATAACGCAAAATTGATTCTTGTGACCTTTAAACCATGTTTTAATGTTGTTACCTCATCAGAAACATACCTGGACTTTGTTTCATTCATTTGAGGAACCTTTTATTATTAGTTTTTCTGCTTCTCCAAAGATCAAAATGCCCTGCTCCACTTTGTGTTTTCGGAGAGAAGAAATCAGCCTAAATCTGCCGGGTTTGTGTGTTAAACATGTGAATGAAACACAACTCCAGGTCTGTTTGTGATGAGGAAACTACATTATAACATAAATCAGAAAATAGTCTAATATGAGCTCTTTAATCTCATTATTATATGTCCTAACCTTCCCTGAACCTTGAACTTTAGACCTCTAATACCTCACTGTTCAATATTTTGCCAACTTCATTCAGCCTTAGATTTCTACATGCCTGCCCTCGCATTTGACATTAAATATGAGCCAGCGAGCAGCACGTTCACCAGTGTGTTGTGTGTGTGTGTAAAGCGTCTACACTTGTTTAATGCCAGTGAAATGTCAAATGTGTGTGTGGAAGTGTGCGTCTGCCGATTGCGCCGAATGACAATCACGTAGCCGGGTCCGGGGAGACAGAGACTCAGTGATGATTGGTTGTTAAAGGGCCCGTGTTTCCTGGCGACGGCGCCCGGTGACGGATTCTCCTCCAGATGCTCGCCGGGGCCAAGGTCAAAGTCGCTCTGATCCGGATGTGACACAGAAATTTGTCTTTTATGTGTGTGTGTCTCTAGGATGCTGGAGTACTCTCTGGATGGACACAACGTCAGCCTATCAGCGATCAGAACGGTTCGAGTGCTCCGCCCACTGCGAGCCATCAACAGAGTACCCAGTGAGTTTGCACTTTTCATTAACTCTCATTTTAGACCATTGTGTTTGGTATTTGTCTGGTGGAAAGCCTTTCATGATAATCTCTATGGCGACTTATTGCTCAATATATGAAAGATGGAACAATATTTTTGGGTCTCAGTATTTATTGCAGATACATTTTCTTTGTAACAGTGGGGTAATTTTTGCCAGTTTTCTGTATCTGATAAGATTTGAGCTGTAGAGGGTTGACTCAGTAACTTCTGTGGTTAGTTATTGGTTCATTCCGCTGTTTCTGTGTTGCAGCTCAAGGCTGTAAATGAAACTGGCTATTTACAAAATGGTTTGCTGGGATTATCCTGCTTTTTTGTTATTGTATCAGTGGCATAAAAGTAGTTTCGGTATTACTGTTTGTCATTATATTTCACTGTAGCAATATATCATGCTTCAAAATAGTGACAGACTTATTGGAGTTGTGTGTTTTATGCTGTTTTTGCTGCTGTTATCTCAAAATGTTGCATTTCTGTTATAGTTATACAGTATAGAACTGACCAGTTTCAAAAACTCCAAACAAGTAATGTTTAACAGTGACTAGATTAAAAAAAGAAACATCATGAAAACATATTAAAAGGCCCATCTCATGCAAAATCAACTTTTCAGAGCTTTCTTCCTTCTAAGAGTGATGTGTGGGCCTTGTATATGTAGAAGTGTTTTTTAGATTGATTTGGTGTTTTTTTTTTTTTAACAAATTGCAGCGTATTTCTGCCACCCTCCCATGTGACAACAAACTAAAGCTGCTACAACAATGATGCGGCAGATACACCTATGACATGTCTGACGTAACAAAAAACACTTCACACTCACCCCGCTCCCCTGCCTCCTCCAGTGTACATGATATAATGAGTTTATCTACGAGCCTTTATTAATACTTTACCAATCAGTAATGTTCTGTTGATGTCGACTCGGTGCTTGAGCTTCGTGCTCCTCAAAGTCCACGTCCGATTCCGGGTTCAACACATGCGGCTGAACGCACTCTATCGCTATTCCTACCACTATCAGTCGTCCCTGTCTCCCTCCCTCCCTGAGATGGGCGGCGGCTCACTCAGAGCCTACGTCACATTTGGAGGGCGGAGCCTGTGCTTTCTCAGGACGGGCGGGGGGATGAGCAATAGTCGGACTTTCATAGTTCGTGGTCTGTGACTGTCTCCAAGAAATCAGTAAGATTTCAGAACTATTGTGTAATGGATGTTCCAAAACCCAAATTGTGCAGAAGATACAATGTGAAAAGAGTGATTTTGCATGAGATGGGACCTTTAAATATTTAAAATACTGCACAATTTACAATATTATATTTAGAAAATGAATCTTGTATTCTTTCTATAGAGAAACTTTTTGTTTTCTTCTAATAAGAAACACTGTAAAAAGCTAAATAGCTTATTTACCTGACATGTTTTGGTGGTAGTATTTTCATCACAGGCCTCTGAGATACAGCATGTCCATAATGGTCAAAGTGTGGCTGTGGTAAGAGTAAGAAAACACTCACTGTTATGCCAAAAGTGGTTCCTTACTTGCTTAGCACAGAAGGCTGTTGGCAAAGACTAAGTGGTAAATGTTAAAAGGAGGCGCTTATCTAAATAAATTATGTTGGAATTATACCCAACTAGAGTGATTTCTGTAGACATTTAAACTGCCTCTCAAAGAAGTATTCTAAGATGGAAAAAATAGGAATGAAATTAATTACATTTACCACTGTAAAAATAATGTCTGGTATTGGTATCTGTATCAGCAAGTGTTAAAATGAAGTACTTATATTGTTTTGGAAAAAGTGGTACATCCCTAACAGAAAAGATCATTTTCATATCAATACATATCTATCCAACTTCAGTCCAGTGTTATTACTGACACACATACATCATCTGCATGTCCTGTTTGTGCTGTTATGGTTAAGGATTCAGTCTAAACTTTCCACCCTGTATGTCCTTGTGTGATGTATAGATTTGTCCATTGATTTTTCAGTCAATATGAATGAGTGTGTTAGTGTACATACCTCAGAGTCGATCTTCTCACTCTATAATAATAATGTAAAACTAATTGACAAAACTTGAACTCGCTTACAACACACCACCATTGTTGGGAGTAACGCGTTATAAAACTAACGAATTACAGTAATGCATAGCTTTTTTGCTGTAACGCATAGCTTTTTTATGTTTTACTTGGTACAAATGTCAATAATGCATTGCATGTTTGTACAATGCATTTTTAACCTGGATTGAAATGGTGGTTTTTTTTGTTTTTCTTCATACAAATTCGCTAAAATCACCACGATATCAGCAGCGGTGAAACGCCGGAGACGCGCCCACGTAGACCGTCAGGTAACCGCGGGTGAAAGGATTGGTGCAGAACCGGCAGCTGTCGCCCGATCGCGCCTTGTAAACACCCTATCTGCAAGGCGCTTCCAAGTTCTAGTCCAAGATTAGTCCTGTTTGGTCCTATTTTAGTCCTGGTTTAGACCTAGTTTCAGTCCTGGTTTAGACCTGGTTCAGTCCTGCTTCAGCTCTGGTTTAGTCCTGGTTTAGTCCTTGTATCAGTCCTGGTTTAGCTCTGATTTAGTCCTAGTTTAGTCCTGGTTTAGACCTGGTTTTGACCCAGTTTAGTCCTGGTTTAGTCCTCGTTTCAGTCCTCGTTTCAGTCCTGGTTCAGTCCTGGTTTCAGTCCTGGTTCAGTCCTGGTTCAGTCCTGGTTTAGTCCTGGTTTAGACCTGGTTCAGTCCTCATTCAGTCCTCCTGGTTCAGTCCCTGGTTCAGTCCTGGTTTAGTCCTGGTTCAGTCCTGGTTTAGTCCTGGTTCAGTTCTGGTTTATTTCTGATTTAGTCCTGGTTTAGTCCTGGTTCAGTCCATATATGGCGCAAAAGTTCAGCATCTTCGCAGTTATTTTGGTGAGAGTAACTTAAAAGTAATGCAATAGTAATGTAATGTCTTATATTTTAAATACAGTAATATTGTAATGTAACAAATTACTCTGAAATGACAGAAACAAGACATAAATAACACATTACTATCACGCAGGTAATTTGGACTCAAATGCAACACAAGTATACAGGCAAACAAAGTCTTAGGTAATAACAGAAAGTGTCCTCTAACAGGTAATGTTTAATGGTAACTCAGACTGAAAATATAACAGAGGAATATATGATGTAAAATGAGAACAGAAATATCCTCCAAACTGGGAAGTACACAAGTAAGAAATGACTGGGAGTGAATCAGGAACAGGGACAACAGGGAAACACAGAATTGCAGAATAGCAAACAAATCAGACAGGGTTTTCAACTTGAGTGTGTGTCTTTACAGGTGACAATCTAGAAGACTGAACAGTATATATAGACTGATTACTGAATGAGGAGCAACTGTAGGGAAAGGAGGGAGGTGGCAAAAGGAGGACCGGAACAGACTGAGAAATGGAACTGGACTGGGGAAAAAAGTAAACAAAAGGCAGAACTGTGACAATTACAGTTTTAAAGTAACTTGCCCGACAGTGCAGACCACATATACAGCACTATATGTTTATCTGAGTATCAATACTTTTACTTAAATTGTGGAGAGGCTCATGTATTGTGAAAATGCTACTTATTCATGATATTAGGGTCCTACATACATGCTTTTCTCCACAAACAATGATCCAGTTATTCTGCTAAAACAGCTATCCCCGTCCTTTATATCAGCACAAACATGTTATTGAAATGTGATTTGTGTGTTAATTTATCACTTCATATTCCAGTTTTAAAAAGTGAATTCCGAACAGAATCCTATTTTTAAAACATAAATCGCAAATGTAACAGCTCTGCCTGTCAGAAAAATCACAATTACATATTTTTCCCAAATCGCTGAGCCTTAATATTAGCTACACTGAAATGGCCCAAAGAATAATATGACCTATATAGTTCCCTGCTATTTTTTACCACATTGCTGTAACATTTTGTACCCCGAAAGTTTCTATTTCCCTACATTGTAAAAACCCTTTATAATAAATTTGTCACTAGGGCTGTAGGCCTTTAGTTGTTTAGTCGATTAATCGGTCAATGGTGTCTTAGTTGTTACGTCTTCTTTGCTAGAGGAGGAGGGAGGTAACAATAAAAATCCAGATGTAAGACATTTAACAAAAAATTTTAGTTTCTTAATTAATGGAGTAAGAAACAAAAAAAAAAAGAAAAGTTGTGGTGAAAATAAAATAAAATTAAAGTTAAGGGTTAAACAAAATGAATTAACTCTTTCCCCCTTGGACACCTACTAGGAAAAACCCATACATATATGACTAGGGCTGCCCATAGAACATAACTGCATATAAGAAAACAGACTTCCACAAGTGATTATAAATGATTTTCAATGATGATTCTCATGAACTTAATTGAAACACAGACATATTTGGTATCTCTGGAACCCTTAGACTCTGAACTCTTCATTTCTGGATGTTTAAATGTGATTCAACTCATTTACAGGTTTATAACAGCTCACTGAACATGAGAGTTTACCTGGTCAGGTGCAAAATCGAAAACAAAAAAACTACATTCAGCATCTGATATATGCATGTTCTGAGTACTGTATTCATAAAAAAATGTAAAAAAAAATGTATTTGTCAAAGTATTTAAACATATTTCATATCACCAGATACAGTACAGCCAAGTGTACACCTGTTTTTACCTTATTTATATGAGGTAAAAACTAATTTAGCTTATTATAATATAATAATAAAACTCTTCCCCATCAGTGGGTGTTCAATATTTGTCATTTTGGTTACTTTCTCTTGCGCAGAGCTCCGCATAAGCGTTTGTTTCTTTAGCAATTCTGTCATACATTGCATCTTGGAAAAAAAGACTGAAATATTTCAAAGGACTCGCCTGAGCAACATCCAGATTTCAGGGCAGTTTTGGGACATAATCGAGTATAAAGTCCCTGATAGTTTGTTTGGACACACACAGACGCATCAGCGGCATTCTCATCTTCGTAAGTTTCACTTTCTGAAAGTCCATCG